CAACTTTTCTCCCCTTCGTACATATTTCACTTAGATAAATGAGAGAAAACCAAATGGTTGATGCATACTTGTTTTTCTATCAGCTGAAAAAGGTTGGCCCATAGACTTGCAGTTTTGATCTCCATTTACAATAAGCTAAATGGTTATGTGTTTCCTTGTTAAGACATATGGAAACAGCAGTTTCAAAGGCTATGTTGGCTCCGCGCCTTTGGCTCAAGGAGCTAAGGTGCCAGCCATGCACACCTGAGCTGGCAGGTTCGAATCCAACCTGGGCCTGCCAAACAACAATGATGGCTGCAACCAAAAAAAAAACAAAACAAAACAAAAAAAAGCCAGGCATTGTGGCGGGCGCCTGTAATCCCAGCTACTTGGGAGGTGGAGGCAGGAGACTCGCTTGAGCTCAGGAGTTGGAGGTTGCTGTGAACTGTGATGCCATAGCACTCTACCCAGGGCGACAGCCTGAGGCTGTCTCAAAAAAAAAAAAAAAGATATTTTATGAGGAACACATTATGGGAAAAAAAATTGGAGAGTTACAAGTCTCTATTATAGCTTTTACTGAGGTTGATAAAGGACAAACCTTTGTGACTGAATTGCTCCTGTAATTACACCAGAAATAACAGGCAGCAGTCACCTTCCATTAGGGGTGGGAGAGAAAGATCCTTACTATTTAAGTGATCACATAAGGTGTTGAATGAATCATCCTCAGCCTCATCATGAGGAATTAAAAATAGGAACAGTTGACATCATCCTATAGTAGGTTTTTAAGGGACAGAAAATGCCAGATAGCTTTTTTTCATAAGGAAAAGAGCTGTCTTGATGTAATGTCATAGTCCACATGTTAATAGCCTATTGGCAGATGCTCTTGAATTAAAGCCTACATCCAAGAATCTCTTGGAGAGCTTGTTAAACAGATTGCTGGGCCCTACCCCAGAGTTGATGGGGTAGACCTGTGCTGAGGTCTTATATTTTGCATTCCCAATTTCCCAGATGATAGTGGTGGTTTGAAGACTGCATTTGGAGAACCAGTGGGCTAAGGGAGAGAAATAGGTATAACTTAACAGAATTTTAAGATTAATTCCCTAGTGCTTGTTGAAAGAAATCTTGGTGAAAATGTGGAATTTCCTTTGGGATAATATGCAAGTCTTATAAAGGGGCTCTATTCTTTGTGACATTGTAAGTGAACACTGAAATTAGTGGCAAACCTAGATGAGTGGTCTCCCAGCCTGGGTCATCACATCTTGGTAAAATCGTGACTACAATTCTTTGGCTACAAGTATCATCTCTATAAGATACTTACAATTTTTTTTCTCATCTGTAAATCAAACACACTATATCTGGGGAGCACTTATAGGACAGTAGTCATTTTAACTAAGGGTATTCCAAGTCTCAGGCCACTTAATCATCTTCCTTGTCACAGCTGCCTGTTGAAATAACTGTCAGAAAGATGAAAGTGCTAAGGCATCAGGCATCATGGTCTGCTGAAATTCCAGGCTTCTCTGTGGCTGTAGAACTGCCCTTTTAGTGTTCTGTTAATTAATGCATTAAAAGCAACAGTGCCAACCGCAGCAACATCATTCTAATGTTTGTAGAGAGCTCACTCACTCTGATCCTACTGGCCAGGTGTCCCTTGGCGTGGGAAACCCTCCCCCCTTTTCTCTTAATGAGGCCTGGTGATTACCTCTTTCTAGATAGAAGAAGAAGAGGGCTTGAAGAGTCAAATTCATGGCTGAGCTCTGTATTTGAGCCCAGGCAGCATGAGCAGGTTGGGGCAAATTTAGAATCTATATAT